TCAGATAATATGCATGGGATAATTTGAATTCTTTGTATTTTGGAAGGTATGCTCTATGGGCTAGGATGTGGTCTATTTTAGAGAAAGATCCATGTGCAGCTGAGAAAAGTGTACATTCTGATGTTGGTGGTGGAACAGTCTGTAGACATCTACTAAGTCCATTTGTTCACAGCTTTTGTTCAGATTTGTTACTTCCTTGCTGATTTTCCATCCAGTTGACCTATCTCTTTGTGTCAATGGGGTGTTGAGGTCCCCTGTTCCAATAGTGTTATTGATTATATGGGTTTTTGTGGCTTTTAAGATTTGTCTTCTATACTTTGGAGCTCTGATCTTTGGTGCATACATGTTTATGATTGTTATCTCATCCTCTTGCTGTTTTTCCCTGTCTAGTGTGTAGTGAACTTCCTTATCTCTTTTAATTTTTATCAACTTGAAGTTTACATTGTATGTGAACAGAATAGTTACCCCTGCTTTTTGTTGCGTTTTTGTTGCATGGAGGATTGTTTTCCATCCTTTGACTTTCAGTCTATGGATTTCCTTTTGAGGGAAATGTGTTTCCTGTATACAGCATATCATTGGATTTTGTTTTTAATCCACTCTGCCATTCTGTTTCTTTGGACTGGAGAAATGAGGACATTTACATTTGTAGGTATAACTGATATGTATTGATTTATCATTGTCATGTCATTTTCTTGTGCTGGTGTCCTACGTTTTCTACCTCTTTACTTGCTTGCTCTTCTTGATGTTTCATTTGTACTATTGTTCTTGAAATTTCAGTCAGATTTTTCTCTGTCTAAAATAACTTTTCGTACTCTTTGTAATGCTGGCTAGGCACTCATGACCTTCCTCAATTGTTCTTTGTCATGAAAATGCTTTATTTCTCCATTGAACTTGAAGGATAGTTTGGCAGGGTACATCAGTCCTGATTGGAAGCTGTTCTGTCTCAGGACCTCTAATTCTTCGCTCCAAGGTCTTCTCAATAGAATAGTTTGTGCTGAGAAGTCTGCCATGATTCTGATGGCCTTTCCTTAATAGGCAATCTGTTTCTTTTCTCTAGCAGCTTTTAATATTCTGTTCTTTTGCTGGAGATCTGGGAACTTGACTACTATATGTCTGGGTGTAGTTTTATTGTGGTTGTGGTTGGTTGGAGTTGAATATGCCTCATTTACCTGTATATCTGGTTCTGATTCCATACTTGTGAAATATTCTGCTATTATTTCTGCAAATATTCTTTTTATGTCAGTTGTGTTGCCTCCTGCTGTTTCATTGACTCCTATAGGTAGTACATTATTCCTCTTTGCCTCATCTTGCAG